TCATCAGGCACTTACAGGAAGGCAAAGATGGGTCTGTTAGAAAGCAGTTACATGTAGTCAATGATGAACCAATCAGAAGGCACTTACAGGAAGGCAAAGATGGGTCTGTTAGAAGGCAGTTACATGTAGTCAATGATAGGCCAATGAGAAGGCACTTACAGGAAGGCAAAGATGGGTCTGTTTGAAGGCAGTTGCATGTAGTCAATGATGAACCAATCAGAAAGCACTCACAGGAACGCAAAGATGGGTCTGTTAGAAGGCAGTTACATCTAGTCAATGATGGACCAATCAAAAGGCACTTGGAAGGCAAAGATGGGTCTGTTAGAAGGCAGTTACATGTAGTCAATGATGGACCAATCAGAAGGAACTTACAGGAAGGCAAAGATGGGTCTGTCAGTGGGCAGTTACATGTAGTCAATGATGAACCAATCAGAAGGCACTTACAGGAAGGCAAAGATGGGTCTGTTAGAAGGCAGATACATGTAGTCAATGATGGACCAATCAGAAGGCACTTGGAATGCAAAGATGGGTCTGTTAGAAGGCAGTTACATGTAGTCAATGATAGGCCAATCAGAAGGCACTTACAGGAAGGCAAAGATGGGTCTGTCAGAAGGCAGTTGCACGTAGTCAATGATGAACCAATCAGACGGCACTTGCAAGGCAAAGATGGGTATGTCTTAGGGCAGTTACATGTAGTCAATGATTGGCCAATCAGAAGGCACTTACAGGAAGGCAAAGATGAGTCTGTCTGAAAGCAGTTACATGTAGTCAATGATGAACCAATCAGAAGGCATTTACACGAAAGCAAAGATGGGTCTGTCTGAAAGCATTTACATGTAGTCAATGATGGACCAATCAGAAGGCACTTACACGAAAGCAAAGATGGGCCTGTCTGAAGGCAGTAACATGTAGTCAATGATGGACCAATGAGAAGGCACTTACAGGAAAGCAAAGATGGGTCTGTCTGAAAGCACTTACATGTAGTCAATGATGGACCAATCAGAAGGCACTTACAGGAAGGCAAAGATGGGTCTGTCTGAAGGCAGTTACATGTAGTCAATGATGAACCAATCAGAAGGCACTTACAGGAAGGCAAAGATGGGTCTGTTAGAAGGCAGATACATGTAGTCAATGATGGCCCAATCAGAAGGCACTTGGAATGCAAAGATGGGTCTGTTAGAAGGCAGTTACATGTAGTCAATGATAGGCCAATCAGAAGGCACTTACAGGAAGGCAAAGATGGGTCTGTTTGAAGGCAG